CAAGATTTTATCATCTTCATAATACAAGAAAAGATGATACGTAGAACTGGATCACTTGGCCCTTTCTCTTCTTATCTTCTCCCAGTTCAGAATGTTTGCATCTTTTAATAGCCAGCATTCTCTTAGATCTGCAGTTGGGCTCAATGCACTCAAGCCTTAGCACAATCTTCTTTGTAGTTTTAGCCTTTTTCTGGAAAATCGGCTTAGCTTGCCCACCATTGCCACTCTACTTCCTGTCATAACGCTGCTTTCCCTGGGCATACAGAGAATCCTTGCCCTTCTCATACTGTGTCACTTTGTGGGGTTGGTGCTTGCCACACTTCTTACAGAAAGTCCGGTGGGTTTTAGGAATGTTCAGCATGTTTGCGTAAGCACTATCAGCATGGAAAGCTAGGCTTATATTTTTAAGACACAGAAGAATCATATGTCACACTAAGCCATTTGTCTCCCATGCTCACTTATTTTTTTCTCTTTACACTTACTGTTATTAGTAATAAATAACATGATCATTGTTATTAATAATTGCATATACACTGTTTTACAAGACAATTATCAGCTCATTTGGTACTGATCAGATTATCTATCTATCTAAATTAAGACTGTCTTGGTTCCAACTGCCTGAAATATCAGCCTAAACTGACTTAAGCTAGAAAAAAATTTCTTGGCTTACCTAACTTTGAAGTCCAGGCACCACTAGCCAGAGCTGGATTCAGGGTCAGGTGATGTCATCAGGACTCAGTTTCTCCCTGTGGATCAGTTGTGCTTTTTCCTGTATAGACTTCAGTTGCTGACACTGTAAGAAAAATGGCTGCAGTACATTCAACCCCCCTTGGCTTCTCAGAATTTAGATTCAGCTGGAAGGAGCATCAGTTTCTTTCCCAGAAGCCTCAGCAAGTCTCACAGTGTCTCATTGGCTCTTATAGGGTCATATGTCCTACCCTGAGCCAATCCCTGTGCTCAGGGCTGTGAGGCTCGGATTGGCCAGTTAGTGTCACATGCCATCCTGCATCCCTGGAGGAGTTAGCTCTTCAGGAACCACATGGTCTAAGAGTTGGGGAGAGGTGAATTCTCAAAGGGAAATTGTGGGCTTTTATTACCAGGAAAGGGAATGGGTATTTGTTGGCAAAACAACTAATGTTCATTGCATGGTATTAGTCTCTTTTTATAGGTCAGCAGCAGATCAGAGGACTTAGTGGATTTGGGTTAGAGTCTTGGTTTCTGATTTCAGCTTTCTTGCCTGTGAAGTCACATCCTCCAAGTAAATGTTCCTTGTGTTTTATGTTCTTTTGATAAAAGTTTGGATAATTTTTAACAGGAAGAGCAAGAGTCAAGAGAGGTGGGGTGAACCTTAGCAATGGGTGAATGTGGTGTTTTTCCTATACTGGTGTGCTTAATGTGACTCAGCTTCAGTGACAGTAAATTCCATTCCCTGGGCTACTCTGTTCCCATGGGAAAGATCCGTAGAGACCCAACTTAGTATCTGCCCTTGGATCTGGCTGTTATGTTCAGGAAGCAGGATCTTGTACTATAGATACAGATGTGCGATGTGTTCTAGACAGGGATGTCAACTGTACTCTTGAAGTGTATCTGGGAGCTGGCCTCGTTTAGAAGTCCTCCTAGATCTCTCACGGCATATTATCCATAGTTCATTTTAGCATGGCCTGAGATGTTTTCTCATTTTGACTTTGACAGTTTTGCTTTTATGTTTGAGAAACCACTTTAGCTTCTTCAGAAGGAGTGAGTATAGTAAGTCATGCTGTTTTCTGACAAACCCGAAAAAGCAACTGAATAGAGCATGCGTTGTATTGAGATCCACACTATAGCTAAGTGACCCTACTATGATTCAGGTAGACCTTGGAAACTAGTTATCGGGACTTGATTAACAAAGGTAATTGGGATAGCTATCCACTTCAGAGGAAAGCATCTGGGTCATAAATTGAGTCATTTCCTCTCAAAGCTCCTGAAATTCATAGTTCAGCCCTTAATCTCTACTTACATATTAATGTTATCGAGATCTCTCTGGCTAATGTGTTTGGTGATTAATGTTGATAGTGGTCTTTGTGATCATCCCTCATAGCCAGATTTAGGTTTAGCTAGTCCTTATCAGTGACTTGCAGATACACTTATTTCTCCAATGGCTATTCTTTGCGTAATCATTACCAGTGTATTGAGATGGAGAAAATAGGTGAAAATAATTCCTCTTTCAAGTAGGTAAAGTAATTACATAGAATAATACTTTATTTTGTATACGTATTATATGTTGAGATCAGTAAAGTGCTTTCAGCTTTATATAGGTATAGGCTGGGTGTGGTGGCTCATGCCTGTTATCCCAGCACTTGGGAGGCCAAAGGGGGATGATCTTTTGAGGCCAAGAGTTTAAGACTAGGGTAAACAACATAGCAAGACCCTGCCTCTACAAAAAATAAAGAAAATTAGTCGGGTGTGGTGGCATGCATCTATAGTTCCAGCTTCTTGGGAGGCTGAGGCAGGAGGATCATTCTGGAGTTTGAGTCTGCAGTGAGCTATGATTGCACCATTACACTCCAGCATGGGCTGCACAGCAAGACTCTGTCTCTTTAAAAAAAAAAAAAATTTATATAAAGCAAAAATAAGGAATTTTAGGGACATAATAGTAGCTAACACTTACTGAGCACTTATGTCCCAGGCATTTCTTTAAGTACTTTATACGTATTATTTCACTTAATCCTTACAGTAACCCTAGGAGGTAGGTATTAGTTGTCTTCCCAGTTTAGAGGTGAGCAAGTTGAAATAATCCATGTTAAGCCACTTGCCCCAGGCCGTGCAGCTGGAGAGTGGTGCAGCTGGTGAATTCTGAACACAGGTCCTCTGGTTCCCACTCTGTGCACTGGATCACTGTGCTACACTCATTCCTAAGAAAGATTTTATCTGGTATGTTATTAGCTTTGCTTTTCTTACTACTTCTTTTTGTATTAGTTGTCTAGATATGTCACTTTGTGGGGTTGGCAAGCACCAACCCCACAGAGTGACACAGTACAAGAAGGGTAGGGATTCTCTGTATGTCTAGGGCTGGGAGTTCTGTAGGGAAGATTTGCTAATTCTAGGGCCTCTGGTTATTGCTGTTATCTGGCAAGCAGTGCATGCTTGTCTTTATTAGTAGTTCTCAACTAGAGCTGATTTTGCCCTCTCCGGACAGTTACTGGAGATATATTTGGTTGTTACAAGTCAGAGGATGTGCTACTGGCATCTGTTGGTAGGGACTAGGGGTACCGACTGCTAAATAACCTACAATGCACATAATGGCCCACAGCAAAAAATTACTGCACCCAAAATGTTAATAGCATTGATATTTTATATCTGGACTATATCATCAGATAGTAATTATTTTGCAATACCACTCTTTGTCTAATGGGCAACATTGCTGTAGTAATACAGACATTATTTTTGACTTTGATGAATAATTGATTTCACCCAAATCAATATATGTTTGTATGAAACGCATACATACCAACCATGACTTAAATATTTAAATCCCCTTCAACTAAACTCGGAGTTACAGTCCCCCAAAGGAAAGCTGAGAGAGTTTGAAGGGAAACCAGGTAAAGACCAAGGACACAGTACTCTTTTTTTTTGGGGGGGTGGTTATCTTAATAACACAGATTTCTTTTTTTATATTAAAAGTGTTAATTTAGGCTTGGTGCAGTGGCTGTCTCCTGTAATCCTAGCACTGGGAGGCTGAGGCAGGAGGATCACTTGAGCCCAGGAATTTGAGACCAGCCTGGGTAACGTAGGGAGACCCTATCTCTACAAATACATACATACATACATACAATTTCACTGCACATGGTGGTACATGCCTGTAGTTCCAGCTACTTGAGATACTGATTTAGGAGGATCCCTTGAACCTGGCACATCGAGGCTGTAGTAAGCGGTGATTGTGCCACTCCACTAGAGCCTGGGTAACAGAGTGAGACAGAAAAGTGTTAAAATAAAAATTCAAACTGAGAAAAGTAGAGAATATTATATTGTACCACATGTATAAATCATCAGTATTGAACAAATGCTGACAAATACTGTTGAAGTCCTTTTTCAACACTTCTGATCTCATTGCTTAGCTATTTCTACAGTTTTGGTAGACCACGAAGCTCAAAAGCTGAAGGGGCTTAGACAGATGTCTGTCATCTTGCCTCCTGCCACTCTCTATGGGCTGCACTCCCCACCCCCCCGTCTTGTACTGCAGTTTATTGGCAGCAGATGGCTACAGCACAGCTAGGAGGGGGCAGAGCCGTGTGTCATTATCAAAGCCAGGAAGGCTGGCAGAAAACATGTAGGCTGGAGGCAGGCAGAAGGGACAAAGAAGTACGGTGAGGCCAGCTGGTTAAGGTGGAAGGTAGGGAAGAGCAGGAGAGAGAGAAGGGGGATGCAGGCACAAAAAGCAATCTGTAAATTGACAGAGATGGTCAGCAAAAGTGGCTGTTGGGAGCAGTATTGTTAATGTCAGGTCAAAGGAGTTAGGTCTTCTCTGTCCAAGTTTTCTGCTCCTGCCATGAGTGATATAGCTGGGGGGAGAAACAATGTGTAAACTCCCACTATTTCTTACTTGGACTATTTTAGTGATCTCTTAACTAATGGCAGTGCTTGCCATTTCTTCACCTGTGGCAAGCCTGTGGTTTCTTCTACTTCTGACCAGTTCTTTATAGAGCTGGTAGGACTTATATTTGATAGATTCCTTCCTTATTTAAAAACATTTCATCATGCTGCATTGCCTATGGAATAAAACCCTAGCTTCTTGTCGTGACATTTGAGGTCATTCTTAGCCTCTCTTACTCTTCTAATGTACCTTGAGTTTAAGCTGTGTATTTTTTCCCCTTGGTGATTTCACTTGAACTCTTCTCTCTGAGGGCAAAACTCGCATTTGCCCTCCCTATCATCTGTGTGTTGAACTCCTTTTCACCTTTTCAATCAGCTCATGCCTTTAGGCAGATGGAATAAGTCTTTTTTTGTAATTGTTCATTTGTGCTTTGCCTCTCTTGCTAGAGTCTGAGTTTCTTGAAAGCAGTGGTGACATGCCTCATCTTTGCATTCATTGCTGCTAGCACAGGGCCTGGCCCTTGAGAAATGTTTGTTGAGTTGAATTAATGGACAGTTCAAACAGTTCCAACCAGTTTTTTAATTGGTGGTTTGAAAGAATCCTGCATGGTATAGATTTTGGTTTTCTGCAGTCATGGTCATAGAACTGTGAGACTGAAATTAGGAAACTGAAATTTGGAGGTTTGGATGTAAAAAGTTTCTGTCCGTTTGGTTAAAAAAGGGAATCCTTTTTATGGTTTGTTGTGTACTTTGCAGTATTCGCAGGCATATTTCATTTATAAATTTAATATATTGTTGGTATGATCCTGGTTTATGATTGACATTTTGCCTGAATCTTAGTAAAGACTTCATACAATATCAAAGAGAAGTATAGATTTTGTAGCATCAATAGCTGCTGCTTAGCTGTGACCTTGATCAAAAGGCTAGCTGAGAGTATTCAGATAGATAATTAAGCCAGCTGAGATAGGAATGGGGCTAGAATTTATAATTAATAAGTTTTTAAAACCTTCTCTTGTTCTTTCTCTCTGTCTGTAGGATTTTTGTCCCTGAGTCATGGAAGACAGAAGAGCTGAAAAGTCATGTGAACAAGCATGTGAATCACTGAAGAGGCAGGACTATGAAATGGCCCTCAAGCACTGCACAGAGGCCCTTCTTTCTCTTGGCCAGTACTCCATGGCAGACTTCACAGGGCCTTGTCCATTGGAAATAGAACGCATCAAAATCGAGAGTCTTCTTTACAGAATTGCCTCATTTTTGCAACTGGTGAGTAAACACTGTCAATAAGCCAGTGCTGAACTATGTAAAATGGCCTTTTTCATTGAGTGGGGACTACACAAATAGCTAATTCTGGGCCAAAGAGATGTGAGTGAAGTGGCTGCTGATTGCTGAATATCTTTGATGGCAAGGTAACTATGCTTTTGAACCTTGAAAATTGTACTACTGTAGGGCATTTTGGATTATGCACTCACTCAACAAGTATTTATTGAGTATGTACTGTGTACTAAACACTATTCTAAGTTCTTGTTATATATATTGATGAAAGAGAAAGATACTTTCTTTATGATACTTTTTCTAGTAGGGGAACAGAAAATAAACAATAGACATAAAAAATAAGCACCATAGATTGTTAAAAGGTAGTAATTGCATGAAAAAAGGAGAACAGGGCAGGGGAGATTGGGAGTATTGGGGTTAGAGATGGGGTTACAATTTTAAATAGAGTCGTCAGGGCAGGCCTTATTGCAAAGGTGATGACTGGAGGCAAGCGGGTGAGCCATGAGTAAATCTGGAGGAAGAGCATTGCAGGCAACGGAAACAGACCCAGTAGCAGAACATTGCCTGCTGTGCTTGAGGAGCAGCTAGGAGCACTCAAGTAGAGTGCTCACGGTGGAGAGGTGGGAGGACCAAAGCCTGTGGGGCCTGCTGGCTTGTGGAAAGGACTTTGGTTTTTATTCTGTGTGAGTTGGGGAGCTTTTGCAGGGCTTTGGGCAGAGGATTGACGTGATCTAATTCAACGGGAATTATTTGACTTCTGTGCAGAGAATAAACTGTAAAGGGATAAGCGTTGATGCAAGGAGAGTAGGCTGGAGACTATTAGAATAATCCAGGACGGAGTGGCTCAGATCAAAGTGGTGGCAGTGGAGATAGTGAGAAGTAGCTAGGTTCTGGTTTATACATTGAAAGTAGGAGCAATCAGGTTTCCTCATGTATTGAATGCAGGGAATGAGGGGGAGCGGTTGCAGTTACTTACCTCGATTGTTTTTGTCTGAACGATTGGAAGAATGGTGTTTCCTTCAACTGGGGTTAGAAGGCTACGGCTGGGGAGAAGGTTTTGTGGGAGAAGGTGGGAGTTCAGTTTTGGACATACCAAGTTTGAGATGTCATTCAGACACCCAGCTGAAGACACTGAGTAAGCTGTCTGATATGCACGAATGGACTTTGGGAGAGAGAGTCATTGAAGAGTGTGGGACAGAAGTGCTGTGTGATGTCTCGAGCCTGCATAGAATCACAGAGGGAATGAGCGTCATAGAGAAGAGGCGAGGACTGAGGGCCGAGTCTTGGGCCGCTACAGCGTCAAGAGGTTGAGGAGCAGAGCAGGAACCAGCAAAGCAACCTAAAGAGCAACCATGAGGAAAGGGGAAAGTGTGAGAGTAAGGAGTCCTGGTGGCCGCATGGAGGAAGGAAGTGTGTCCAAGTGAGAAGATGTTGAATGGTGTCAGCAGCTGCCAATAAAGCCGTGAGATTGTGTCTGAGTGGGGGCATGTGAATCCGTGTGGGTCCATGTGGATGCAGTGGAGGTCACTGGTGATCTCATGAGAGTGGCTTCCTTGGAGTAGTGGGTAAAAGTCTGCTTAAAAGAGGGCTTAGGAGTGAATCGGGGAAAGGAATGGAAATACATCAACATAGACAACCCTTGAGGAGTTTTGCCACGAAGAGACACCAAAAAAAAAAGAGAGAAAGGAAAAGCAAACAGAAAAGAAAAAGGAATGGTAGCTAGTGGGAGAGGTAAAGTCAAGGGAAGTATTTTTTTAGATGGGAGAAATAACTGTATTTCTGTATAGAAATTAAGCAATCAAAGGCAAAAAATTAATGATGTAGGACAAGTCGAGGAGGCTTGCTGGAGTGCTGTGCCTGCGTAGGCAGCTGAGTGGATCTGCACAGGCATAGGTTGACTTCAGAAGGGAGCATGGGAGTACGTCTGCTAACAGGTAGAAGGAAGACAGAGTGTATGCTGGGAAGTGGGTAGACAGGGTGGTGACAGTCTGAAAATTTTCTTCTGTGGCTTCAGTTTTCTCAGTAAAGCTGTTGGCTGAGAAGGAGGTGCTGGTGAGTTAGGTGCTGGTGAGAAGGAGGTGCTGGTGAGTTGGAGAAGGTGAGAAGTAGGGGTGGAAGTCCATGGACTAGGAAGTATACTATGATGTTTATTTGTAGAGTGCCCTGTAATCCTCAGAGAGCACATGTGTTAGCTTTGCTCTGTGAATATTAAGTTTACATTAATAATTAAACTTTGAAACAAAGCCAAGTTTCCCTTTGATAACACCTCTGTTAAAAGCAGCTCTTGAACTACTTAATTTTTTCTTGTATCTTTTATTTTGCAGAAAAACTATGTGCAAGCTGATGAAGATTGTAGACATGGTATGTTTAAAAATGGGACTCTTTTCAGTTATTTAATTGAGCAGTGTTTAAGGTTTGATTTTTTTTTTTTTTTTTCCTGGCTAATTTCAAAAGTGATGATAATATTTAAAAAACCCACCTTACTGTGGTGGCTAGTGACTGATTTGAACGATGACATTTCCGCTAAGCTGGGTGTACATGTGAATATTGCTCTTACTCATGAATGTTTAAGTTCTTACATTGATAATGTGTCCTTTTAAACTTTGTGTGAATAGTTCTAGTCCATAAGGGCCAAAGTTTAAGAAATGTAACTCACATTGAATAAACTGTTGAGCTTAGCTAGATACATTGAAAGGATGGGCCTGCCCCTCCGAAAATGCCTTTCCTCCTTGATCAGAAGATCTTCCTTAGAGAGGAGACGAGCTAGAATGCTTTTTAGTGATTTTTCCGTTTTTTTTTTTTCTTCCCTCTCTATGAGACAGAATCTTGCTCCATCTCCCAGGCTGGAGTTGGGTGGGGTGATCATGGCTCACCGTATCCTTTACCTCTCAGGCTCAAGCAGTCCTCCTGCCTCAGCCTCCCAAATAGTTGGGACTACAGGTGTGCGCCACCACACCTAGCTGATGTTTGTATTTTTTGTAGAAATGAGTTCACCATGTTGCCCAGACTCGTCTTTTACTTCTGGGCTTAAGGGATCTGCCCACCTTGGCCTCCCAAAGTGCTGGGATTACAGGTATGAGCCACCGCGCCTGGGCTCCTATTTCAGACAGGAAATTGAGATTAGTAAGATTCTTGCTCTTTGAGTACTTATTGGAATTCTTTTCTTTTGGTTGTTGCTGTTTGCTAGAATGACTCTAGGAGTGTGTGGGAGAAGAGTTCACTGTACATTCTCACACACATTTGGTGGAATTGTTTGCAGAGCTCAGTGATTTGACTAATACAGTGTTTCATTTATCCAGAATTTGGGGATAGTGATGCTGAGGTATTTAGCATGAGTTAATTTTTTTTTTCCTGCTTATCCCTTTGTTTCAACACTAAAAAGTATTAGACTGGGCACGCTGGCTCACCCCTGTAATCCCAGCATTTTGGGAGGCCATGGCGGGTGGATTACTTGAGGTCAGGAGTTTGAAACCAGCCTGGCCAGCATGGCGAAACCCTGTCTCTAGTAAAAATACAAAAATTAGCCAGGTGTGGAGGTGTGTGCCTGTAGTCCCAGCTACTCGGAAGGCTGAGGCAGGAGAATTGCTTCAACCTGAGAGGCAGAGGCTGCAGTGAGCCAATCTTGCACCACTGCTCTCCAGCCTGGGTGAAAGAATGAGACTCTGTCTAAAAAAAAAAAAAAAAAAAAAGAGTATTAACTATGTTTGCTATAAACCTTACAAAACTATATTACATACTCTTGTGGCCATTGAACATAATTTAACCATTCATTAAAGATTCAGTGACCTCTTTGTGAACCTCATTTCATGGAATTATATGCTTTGGGAGTTAACTAGAAATTAAGAGATATCTAGTACAATTTTGCTTTAAAAAAAATCCCTGCTATCTATGGGAATTTTAAAATTACAATGAGCAAACAGTAGTAAGTCAAATAATACAGAGGAATATGAAGATAATAATTTCTCCTTCCCCATCTGAAGAAATTATTGTTATTAGTTTGCCGTATGAGAAAGGTCTTCTGTGCCTTTCTCTGTAGTGACAAACACAGATGCTTATAATACATAAAGAGGGTTTTTCCTTTAAAAATTAAAGTTATAATGTAATCATCACCTAGCACCTTGCTTTCTTACATGTCAATATATCATGAATATTGTTCTAAATTTATACACTGGCTCCAATTCCTACTTAATATTCCATGTTGTGGATATACTACTACTTATTCAACCATTCCCATATTGATGGGCTTTCAGGTGGTTCTGGTTTTCTGGTTTGTCATTATAAACCATCCTGTAATAAAATGTTCTTTCTTATTGTTGCCCTTTTTTCTGTAGGATAGTCTTAAAAGTTGGATTTCTGGGTTAAGGAGTACATATACTTAATAATAATTTTAATAGACACTGTCAGATTACTTTCAGATGCGCACACCCACAGTGATATTAGAGACTGCCCAGTCTCTGTAATCTGTCATTGAAACCTCAGTGTTGAAATTTTGCCAATCTTGTGTGTCAGAAATACTTCCACTTTCTTCAGTTTTCATTGCCCTGAGTACTGGTGAAATTGATGCAGTCTTGTTATTTTGGAGATGTACAAACAAAAGTCTTAGAAAGCTCAATGACTTATGAAAAGTCATATAAAGATAAATGCTGAAGGAGCATATGGACAAATGGTGCATTATTCTGTTAATTGTTTTCCTTAGCATTTTAAAATTAGGTGCTATTTCACAACTTTTGAATCACTAGATTATAAGTTTAACCAATGCCTAAGATAAAGTTGTTGTCGTGAAATGAGTATATTCTTGTGGTGTTGGTGGAGTATGGAATGGAATGCAGCTTGGTAATATATTCATACCCTTTGACCCACTAATCTCATTTCTGGGATACTATCCTAAGTAAATAATCCAAAATAGAGAAAAAAATGTACGCAGAGTGGTGTTCCTTGCAGTGCTGTGTGTAAAAGTGAAAAATAGGTTAGCTTGCAATAAGGAAGGATTTCATTAATTACATTCTACACATTCCTTGTTCCCCTTTATGTGATAAGAACTTGGAAAATGGTCATTTTTTAATAAATGCAAAAGCAATATATACAAAGTCCTTTATTTGAAATAGACATTTGGAAAGATTAGCCAGTATTATACATGTATATTGGTAGTTGTAGAATTCTGCTTTTATATGTAATTTTTGTCTTTTTAACTTTTAGTACATTATTTTTGTGTAAAATGAAATACTATGGTTAGTTAGGAATAAAAAGCAAGATGAGAACCTCAATCTCTATTATAGTATTTTGTAATGCTAAGATGCTTCCAGGGATTGCTGTGGATAGCTCATATCTTAAGCAGCCCAGACGGTTGACTTCTTATACAGTTGTAGCCCTTTTTTTTTTTTTTTTTTTTTTTCATTTGAGACAGCATTTTGCACTATCACCCAGGCCGGAGTGCAGTGGTACAATCTTGGCTCACTGCAACCTCCACCTCCTGGGTTCAAGCGATTCTCCTGCCTCAGCCTCCCCAGTAGCTGGGATTACAGGCACCTGCTATCACGCCCGACTAATTTTTGTATTTTTGTAGAGATGGGGTTTCACCATGTTGGCCAGGCTGGTTTTGAACTCCTGACCTCAAGTGATCCGCCCGCCTTGGCCTTACAGTGTAGTCTTGATGTCTGTTCTCTTACTGTGAGGCTATCAGTTTGCTTTCCTTGCAACTCTTAACATGCCTCATTGCAGCTACTCTCCCTCTCTTCTCCATTTGCAGCTTCTGACCTACTGTGGGTTAGGAAATTAGACTAGTACTCTTCATCATGGAATTAAAAAAGTCTTTCCCTTTCCTTCTCCTTTCCCCCTTCTCTGTTCCCCCTTCTCCTTTCTCCATTCCCCCTTCCTTCTTTTCCATTCCCTTCCCCCTTCCCTTCTTCTTTGAGACTGAGTTTCGCTGTCACTTAGGCTGGAGTGCAGTGGCGCAATTTCGGCTCACTGCAATCTTTGCCTCCCGGGCTCAAGCAATTCTCCTGCCTCAGCCTCCTGAGTAACTGGGATTATAGGCTTCTACTACCATGCCCAGCTAATGTTTGTATTTTTAGTAGAGACGGAGTTTCACCATGTTGGCCAGGCTGGTCTCAAACTCCTAACCTCAAGTGATCTGCCTGCCTCAGCCTCCCAAAGTATTGGGATTTACGGTGTGAGCCGCTGTGCCCGGCCCATTATTTCTTTCTTATTATGAAAAATATAAGACATACAGGAAAGTAGAGGAAATGATATAATAAACTTACATTTTCTCAAAGCTATGATTGAACAACTAATGTTTTGCCATATTTATTTTTTTGGAAATAATTAAGAATAATTAAAGACATCATAACATTTACCCCTAAATACTTCAGTATGCCTCTCTAAAAAATAAAACCAAGACTGCATAACCAAAATATTGTTATTAACATAATAGAATTGATGTAATTCCCTAATAATTCCCTAACCTATCCAAAGCCCATTCCATAATCAGATTTACCTGTTTTTCTGTCCTCAGTTTTTTTTTTTAATGGCTGATTGGTTTAAACCAGGAACTGATTTAAGGTTATAAAATTTTAAAGTTGGAATTCTGCTTCAATAAGAGTAAATAGACTCTGAGTTAGGACTCAAGGGCATCTTTTTAAGTTCCTGGGTTTCAGTTCCAAGTTCATTGTTGTATTCTGGATAGTGATGGTTGCCAAGCCAGCAACCACTGGATAAGTAAGGTACTTAAGTCACTTTTGATTATCTGAACATCAGTTGTATTTGGCATAACACAGAAACTTTCATGAAATAATGATTCTATTTTTGCCTTTGAAATAGTCATTATATAGGAAACTTAAAATTTTTTACACTAAAAAAATGAATGAGGTAAATGGAAAAAGTAAAATCAAAAGAAAGTAATCTTGTCAACTAAGAGTATTGTACCATTTGTAATATGTAGGTTGAACTTAATCATCATAAACATCAATGAAAGTTTTTTATGAGGCTGTAAGATTTGTAAACCCTAGCTGAGAGTTCTGTTAATGTAAGAAATAATTGTTACAAACGAAGGGGCTTGGGTCATCTATTGGTGTTTATTATTGTGATACTTGGTCTGTGAAGTAAATGATTCAGTAGTCAGCAACGCCTGTTAAAGACGCTGACTGTTAGAAAAGGCAAATTGAAACTTCTACACTCTCTCTGGGGAAGAAGTGATATGTCTGTAACTACCTTTCTTCTCAGAAGAATTTATTTGTTTATTTGGAGACGCTGACTGTTAGAAAAGGCAAATTGAAACTTCCACATTCTCTCTGGGGAAGAAGTGGTATGTCTGTAACTACCTTTCTTCTCAGAAGAATTTATTTGTTTATTTGGAGATGCCATGTCATGGTGTTACCTGGGCTGGAGTACAGTGAGATTATAGCTCACTACAGCCTTGAAATCTGTGCTCAAGTGATCCTCCCGCATTAGCCTCCCCAGTAGCTAGGACAAGGGAGTATGCGCCAGTGCGCTTGATTCATTTTTGTTTTGTGTTTTTTTTGTAGAGATGGGGTTTCGCTTTGTTGCCCAGGCTGGTCTTGAGTGATCCAGGCTTCAAGTGACCCTTTTGTCTCATCCTCCCAAAGTGCTGGGATTATAGGTGTGAGCCTCTGCACCTGGCCCTCAGAAGAATTTTTAATTAAATAGTTTCCATGGTAATCAAACATTTTTTTGAAAAAATATTTAGCGAATAGGATAATGTTATTTATTTAGAATTATCTCAGGTTTGGGCCCTCTGATATATGTTA